CGGCCGTGGCGTCCTCATCGTGCTCCCTGGGCTCTTGGTCCTCAGGGATGGTGTGACACTTCAAAAATTTAAATAAAAATAAAAATAATTTTTAATCAGATAAAATATTACGAAAATAACAATTTTAGAATTAATTGAGTCAGACAAAAATTCAACAGATGTGACATTTTAATCAGATAAAATTTTCAAAATTTATGACGTTTTAGTCAGATAAAAATACTTCAGTAATAAGAACAACATTTTGGTAAACAAGTGAACCAGACAGAAAATTTACATTTACGACATTTTTAGTCTGATAAAAATGGTCCGATAAATAAACTAAGTACGTATAATATATATATACTCCTATGATATATAAACTAAATACGTATATAATATAAAAACCTACGTAAGTATAATACTCCTAACTAACTACTTACTTATACTCCTAATAGATATATAAATACGTAATATTAATTATACTTATGCTACATAAGAATTACCTCCTAATTTTGTAAGTATAACCTTATACAAACTCTAAAATACACCCTAACTACCTGCTATGCGAATACTACGTACATCGTATATCTAACATATGAACCTGGCCATATCCATACTTAAGATACAACATGCGGAAAAAAAAACGAAAAAAAAAAAAATAAATACGTAGACTACATGAATAAGGAGACCTGTAGCTCATTCGGATAAAACTTCATATAATATATTAATATTATTATCTACACTTGCGAACCAATCGGATAATATTTCTCCAGCATAGGATCTTCCCCTTATCAGTATAAATACACACCCTTACATGTGTTTCGTCCCGTTCAAAATAACAGCAGTGATATATACGTGTATATATATATATACACATATATACGAAGGCTATATATATACCAGATTTCGTCCCATCGTTATAATAAAATATGAGCCTTAAAAACACTTCACAAATCTTCCCCTTTGAGCGGGGAATCCAACGAATCAAGAAACGTTGAAAACGGTGGTCGGAAGAGGGAGATATCATTCACCGGAGTCTCGCCGGACTGGTTTTCACGGAGCAAAAATACAGAGAAGGACCAAACGTTAGGAAGCCACCGTTTTGTCTGGAGGAGAGGAAGTTGTGTCGCTACTGCCAAATCAGTCCGTTGCTTCTGAACGCCGCGGTTGCGCCTTGCTTGGTTCGCCGGTGCTGAGCTACGAAGAAGACACCGATTATGTACGCATACAGTTTCTTTTGTTCTCTCCCTTTGTTCTTTTCTAATTTGGGTCGGCTGGTTAGTTTTTTTTAACAAAAAAAAAAGAAAAATGAGGAATGACTTTTTGGGATGTACGAAATTAATTGGGATGATTTTATAATATGAAGTAATGTAAAATAGAGTAAATGGAATTTATCTGATTGATTATTTGACCCGAATAATTGGAGTTAACGTGGATTAATTGAAATAAGTGGAGATGATTGGGTAATGAATTCTTAAAATTAAGTAAGGGAACTGGGTAAGGGCTAATTAAGAATTAGGATAATTATTAATTTAGAATTTTATATTCTTAGTTTTGGTGAAGATGTGGTAGAAGCGACCATTTGAGACTCTTGAGACTGAGGTAAGTTTCTCTGCCAATCCAAAATTGTTTCCTCGTATTATATGCTTATTATGCATTATGTGATTAAGTGTGATTTGCGAATTTTGTGTATGTGATTTTGAGGAGATATTATATATATGGTAGTTAAGAAGTATAAATCAAGAACTTTTGGGGTATTAAATATTTTTAATTACCTTTGAGACTTTTTAGAGAAATTAAGAAGTATTTTTGAAGTATTATTAAGCGAAGATAAAATTTACATTTTCATAAGAAGATAGCATCTCGGGAGTAATCCGAGGTGTCGGTTTTTCCACATCCGGATAAATGTGGAGGGTGATTAGAGCTACTACTACTAAGAAGTACAGTTTGGATCTATGATCCCTTTTAAGTAAGATTTGGATCTATGATCCCTTTTAAGCAAGATTTGGATCTATGATCCCTTTTAAGTAAGATTTGGATCTATGATCCCTTTTAAGAAGAAGTTATAGTAGTAGTCCCTAATCATTCAAGAATTTTAGAATTGGGGTGGTTGGGTTCCGACCACTCGGGATGACTTACTACTCGGAGGGCTTGGAATCCCTTTTAGGGGGTGTGCACACTTAAGGTAGTCGTTTCGTTTCCAACAGAGCAGTTGTGGTACCGGCACTTGTTCGGGGTGGCCGTCCGTAACCACGGTCCACCGGGCTCTACCGAAAGGTTAAGCACCGCCCTTCTAAATTACTAGGAAGTTAGAGAAGAAGTGATTTTTTTTAAGAAGTTTAAAGAGAAGAATTACTAAGAGATTTTCCAAGAGAAGTTTAAGATTTTAGCAAAGAAGAAATTTTAGAAAAATCAAAGAGAAAAGTATTTTGGAAGAGTGCGTCATTTTTATATGATATCATATAAAAATCTATTTTTAGTCAAACCTGATTATTTTACGGGGTTGGGTAGTACTTACTTAGCTCTAAAGCTAATTTTTGTTATTTTCTTGTCTCTCTTTTCTCCCTTAAATCAGGTGATGAGTTGGATACCTATGTGGATTGACGGATTGCTCGAGCTTGAGTGCGAATTAGAAGATGCATTAGTTAAATCTAGTCATAAATCAAACATTCACTTATTATTACATTAGTTTTTATTGTTTTACTTTGAGTTGCCTGTGCATTCGGTTAAGAGATGACCGAATGTGGCGGTAACACTCATTTCCCTTTTAGACTTCCGCTGTATTTCTTCAACTCTTTGATGAATGAATAAAGTATTTCTTTTAAAATATATCTTTGCTGACGAGGTTGCGGTTTGACTTAGTTCTCCCCATGATCAGTGGTTAGCTGTGCTTGGTAGCGACGAAGGGTGCTAACTTGATTGTTCTAGCTCTCAACGAGAGCACCAAATGATAGAGTATATCTCTTAGATTCTAGAGAGAAGTGAGAGCTAGAGAGAGAAGTGCAATAATATGCTTCAATAGGATGAATTTGTAACCCCTATAACTACTCCCAAAGGGAGTATTTATAGAGAAAATTAGGGTTGGGCTCCCAAGCCTTGGGCTTGGGAGGCCCATTTACAACTGGACCGCTACTGGGCCGAATACAAAGCCCCTAATGGGCTGTACAAACGAGTAGGTATAGAATCCGATTCTGGGAGGTCTTCGTGGCCGACGAGGGCGTGGCCGACGAGGGCGTGGCCGACGAGGGCGTGGCCGACGAGGGCACGGCCGACGAGGGCACCCGGGTTCCTTGGGCTCAGGACCGTAATCCGAGTTGGCCCCTGTTCGGCCGACGGGGGCGTCTTGGCCGACGAGGGCGCCACTCTGCTGTCTTGTGCTCTGTCCTTCCGAGTATGTGGGTCCTGGGGCCCAGACCCATATACTCCATCAAGCGTAAGACTCAACTACACATGCATTGACCACAATACTCTTACTTTTAGAAAATAACAGATATTAAATAGACAATAAAAAGACAATAAGTAGACAATAAATAAATAATAAATTCTGGAAAGCAATCAGTCTAATGCCTGACCCGCAAGGAGGAGGGGAGAATAAGAAGGGCATGGTGCGCCGCTGCCGCTGCACCTGGGTCTTCTCCGTTATGCCTCATCTCATCATCGGAGATATCTCCGGCGAAGAAGAAGAACGTAGTGCGCAACAACGAAGAAAACGAAGACGAATTTCCCTAGCCCCAATTCCCCCAAATAGAGCGGCAGCGGATCTGCAAAAGCAGCGCAGGTGCTGGCAGACGGTGGAGGCGAGGCGGAGGTGAGGTGGAGGCTGCCGCTGGAGATGAGAATAGGACGTCCCTGGTGGCTGGAGGAGGTGAGGCGGAGGTGCCTCTTGTGAGGTCGCAGGAGCTGAAGGGTAAAAATTGGAAGGAAAAAATAGAGTCTTCTGAAATAGAATGAAGTAAATCACACGGATGGAAAAAACATGACCAAGTCCTAGTTTTGTAAACTTGCATTGATTTAGTCTTACAAAGAGCAATTTTCTCTATTTGTAAAAGTGATATGTAATTATTTGTAGAGAAAATTGCTCCGTGTAGGACTTAATCAAAGCAATTTTATAAAAATAGTACATACATATGTTTCTTCATTCCGTAAGAGCTATGTAGTTCTAATTTTGAAAACTTGATTTTAAATTTCCAATTTTACCCTTACTGTCTATGTATTGCCTGCTATTGAGTTATTATTCGAAATTATTGTCTGTTTACTTACTACTTAATGTCTATGCATTGTCTATTGTTTGCAAGTTTGATTTTGAATCTGATTTTTTCAAAACTTTTGCAGAACACATGGGTGTCCACCGCCACATAGTTTATGAAAACAGTAACCCTATTCAGCCATAACTCTGATTTCATCAATTCGTCACAGATTCAGAACATCCCTGCCACTCAATTGGCCTCAAAACCTTTACTCATCGAAGATTGAAGGCCGTCCGCACCCCCGCCGGCCGCATCGCCCCCAAATCCCACCGATTTAAGACCAAAACCATCGTCTTCCCCTACAATCTTCGTGGACACCATTGAAATCGGAAAAAAAAGAAAGGAGGAAGAAGAAGAAGAAGAAGAAGAAGAAGAAGAAGAAGAAGAAGAAGACATCGGAAACCAGTGCGCTGTGGTGCGGCGTGGGGGCGGCGGCGACTGGCGCGATTCGGCGGCGGCGAGTGGGGCGGCCTGGTTTGATGCTGCGGCGGTCCTTGGTTTCCTGGGTGCGTCCATTTGCAGATGACGAATTGAATTGTTTGATGTGTAGGGGTTTTAAAATGAAGGGCAAAATGAAGGGCAATTTGATCAAAGCTACTTAAGTCTTACCCTAATCTATAGTCTTAATTTTGGAAAATTAGTATGATTAAATCCTATTTGTTTTTGAATTTGTTGAAGTCTCCGTTATTTGTAATAGGAGTAATAAATGCTTGAAAAAATAAGTGCCTTGTAAATCTAATAAAAATCCGGATGACACGTTATGTTATGTGGCTGTGTGCTATGTGGCTCACTGGCATTATCACAATCTCCACGACTCCACTGGCTCATGGTGATCTGAACTTTCAACTCCGCAGCAAGAATCCATGGCTAAAACGTTTATTTCATCGCACTCGTTTCTTGGTACACCTTTTCCGTCCTCCCCCCACCATGGAAGCTTTCCGCAGAGTCGACTCCTCTCCACCCGAGTGAAACTCAGCTTCCATGAGCTCCCGCCTATTCAAGCCCTCCACTCTTCTGTCGATTTCGGAGCAATTTTTACTCGAGCAGAGAACTTTCTGTATACAATTGCTGATGCCGCCGTTGCTACTGACGCTGCTATAGGCGGCTCTGCTTCAGATGCTTCAACTGCAGTTACTCAGAAAAATAACGGTTGGTTCGGATTCGTTTCCGACTCCATGGAGTTTGTGTTAAAGGTAACTTATCAATTTAAATGACTTCGATTTTTTGAGAAACTGCAATACCTTTATAGCCTATGATTAATTACGATCAGGATTGCATTTTGTTTTTGACGTCTATGAAATGAAACTGAGGAAAGGCCATATACTCTTTTATGCTATATACCACAACAAGTATATGCCTTAGTCCCAAAAGTATTTGGGTTGGGCGGACATGAATAGACATCGGACCTAAAAGGATAAGAAATAAAAGAAAGACAGGAAAGATAAAAGGATAAGATAAAAAAGAAAGATAAAAAAGATGAAAAGATAAAGAACATAAGAAAGATAAATAAGATAAAAGGATAAAAAAGAGGAAAATAGATCAATCCTCCACAAGAATAATCTCTCTGTTTTATGCTAATCCCATTTTAAATTTTATTATGTCTGTCCATCCCAGTTTGAGTCTGAGATATTGCTCTCTGCTACTATACTAGTTATGGCAACAGTAATTCACCAGTAGTACCATTTGAGGTTCAACAAATTTGGTGACACGGATAACTAGGCAAGGCTCAGAATCTTAAATCCAAGAATGTAAATTGATACGGACATACGGTATTTCAGAAACTTTATCTAGCTTGCGTAAAAAGTTGAAAACAAATTAATTTGCATATAAATGAGACTTGAGAGTTTCACATTATGAACTACTCGTCTTCATGGCAAACCTTTAAATAGTTAGCCAGCTACTAGCAAATCAAGCTTAGTTGTGTTAAGAAATCCAAAAGTCTCAAGATGTATATTAAGTACTAAATGCTCTCTCTCAATCTCATGTGCCTAAACAAGAGTTGATATCAGTGAAAATATGACAGAATGATGATACACACGCCTTACTCTTATTAGGTACTAAAGAACGGACTTGAAGCTGTACATGTTCCATATTCTTATGGATTCGCCATTATATTGCTTACGGTTATTGTAAAAGCTGCTACACTTCCATTGACAAAGCAACAGGTGTGCTTTCTTTGTTCTTGGTATTTAGTTCAAATTTCACCTTGAATGTGATGTATTTGATGAACATCTACTTTTCTCATCCACAATTTAACATAGAGTCCTAGACTATTTTCTACGGAGTAATATTAATGGCAACTGAAGGTCTGCACTAACTTTAGAATAATTCATTCAATTATGTTTGTCGTCTGTGAAAGGTTGAATCAACTCTGGAAATGCAAAATCTCCAACCAAAAATCAAAGCAATTCAACAAAGATATGCTGGGAACAAGGTGACAAATTATTCAGTCTCCAACTCTCCATTTATATTTCTAAAAAGTATAATCAGTATATTGGTTTGTCCTCTTGTAATTTTATTTTCCTGGGAGATGAGTGGTATAATTGAAAATCTTCTAGCATGTAGATTGTGTGATATTCGTTGTTCTCATAAGCTGATATATACATTTAGATTACATATATATATATATAATCTGGATCAAATAAAAAATTCATCTTTGGCTAAAAATGACAACGAGATCAACTTTTAAGTCCCAAATGTGGTGGCATTATCGTAATTATGAAGAAGTTTTAGTAAAAACATGCTGATAAAAGTTTATCGGTATATAAAATAATTGCATTTGCTACACTTTAAAAGTGCATCTGTGTATGAAAATAAATTATATTCCCTGCGGTCCTAAATGAACTTCATAGTTTGACTTTACGGTTTTTAAGAAAGTGGAATATTTGCTTTTGACTTTCCTATCGTGCCCTTACAAAAATTAGATTATGTGTGGTGGGAGAGAGAACGTGGGTGTAAAGTAGGTAATAAAGTAAGGGTATAAGATAATTTTATATTAAAAACTTACCAAAATAGAAGTGTGAAGTTTTTATATTGGACCTACCCAAAAAGGAAAGTGTGAAGTTTATTTAGGACCGGATGGAGTATATAATTATGCAATTGTAATAAAAATATAAAGATAAACACATGTGACCAGTTCCAATAAAAAGTATTCTTCCCGTACAAAATGCGAATGCCTCCACTTTTGAGCATCTGAGGTACACTATTGTGGTGATAAGTTTTCCGCCATCCACTTTTGATTATTTATGGTACACTATTGCATGCAGGAAGTCCACTTTTTGCAAAGAAGAAAAAATTTGATTTATTTACAAAAATTGCAACGCATTTTTCATCCACTTTAATGCATTTTTGACATTTTTAGAGTCATTAGATCTTAGATTCGGGGCACCAGATTCATTTTTATTTTTCTTGGGAATGTAACTTTTTATTTGATTTCAAATCTGAATGCACATTTACACATACACGATGCACTACGGAATAAAAATTGCATATTAAACTTTCAAATATTTACAACTTTGATACCACAATTTTAATGTCAAATTGATCTAATCCATTCATTTTTAAGCAATGAAAGACCTGGATTTGTTCTCATTTTTCATGGGAAGACAACTTTTCATTTGAACCTAACCTTACACACACACACTAGAAGCAATTTCATAAGGTGATATGTTGAAGGCTGAATTATGAAACTGTGGTAGTGTACTAGTTCATGTCTTTTATTTAAAGTTGCAGGAACTAACACATATATTAGTTTCTCTTTAGGAAAGAGTACAACTTGAGACAGCACGCTTGTATCGTCAGGCAGGTGTTAATCCTTTGGCAGGTAAACTTCAACATGGATAGTTTATTGTCTTCTTCCTTAGGATCTACTCTACAGTAATTTTGCTTTAACCTACCCTCTCCTACTAGGCTACTAGTTGTATCATGGTGATGGTTTATTTATAAAATTATTAACAGGATGCTTACCAACATTGGCTACAATACCAGTATGGATAGGATTGTATCAAGCTTTATCAAATGTGGCAAACGAGGTACAACAGGAATATCATACAGAGTATAAAATATTTACTATTGCTAGTAGCTTCTAGAGACACTCGCATTTATTTATCATGGACTATTCATTGATGTAATTGTAATATTTTTTACCTAAAAAGGGACTGCTTACGGAAGGTTTCTTGTGGATTCCTTCATTGGGAGGCCCAACCACTATAGCTGCTCGACAGAGTGGAGCTGCAATTTCTTGGCTCTTCCCATTTGTGGTAATAATAATACTCTGTAATAGCTTTGGCTGCCAAACAGATATGCTAATAAACTTACTCCCTTAGTCCACAACTGAACACCCCTGTTACTTTGTAAGAGGCTCAAAACTGTCATCTACCAGATACCCTAAACATCCTTCCGAATAGAACTTGAAATAGAAAATAATTAAGCATTTAGTGTTGAAGTCAGAAGTGTACCCATCTAGTTTATTCTTCAACTTGTATCATGCATGCTATGCTACATGGGCGAATCCAACTTTTATTGTCACAGCATGATGATTTATTATAAGATTTTTATACTCTCTCTGTCCCCTATCTTTGTTCCATTTTACCTTTTTTGCCCGTTCCGCTAAGTTTGTCTCATACCATATGTGATAATATTTGGATAGTTGCAATTCATTCTTACTTTATTCACACTTTATCGATTTAATATCAACCACACAATTCCACTTTTCTTAAAAACCACACCACTTCCTCTTTTCCCAATGTTAGGGGGGCGGAGGTAATATCTCTTAAAAAATACTACGTATCAATTTTCAAGACATTTATTCTCTTAACTATGCAAAATTTCACCCAATGTGCACACTCTTCGAGACAAAAGAAAATAATTTGAAGGGTTTGACGTGTGAAGTTGTGAGGGTGTGTAGTATGAGCCACATCTGAATCCTCTTTTGCTAAACTACTAATATGTAAACATCCATCAATCAGGATGGGCATCCACCTCTAGGCTGGCAAGACACTGCAGCTTACCTTGTATTACCTATTCTCTTGGTGGTCTCTCAGTATGTATCAATGGAAGTAATGAAGCCTCCCCAAGTAAGGAAATGGTTTAATCTTATACGATAGTATTCCTTTTTTGCCCGCTTCCATTCTTTTGCCTAGTTGTCTGAAACTCTTATCTGCTTTTGTTAGACAGATGATCCCACTCAAAAGAACACGCTTCTTATCTTCAAGTTTCTTCCTCTCATGATTGGTTACTTTTCTCTGTCTGTCCCATCTGGTTTAACAATTTATTGGTAATCTCTTAAGACCTGGATTTATGTATTATACTCATTATACATTTTGTTCGTCGAGTAAACATAATGGCATTCTTTGGTACTTTTACTAATTCATCCATTTCTTTTTTTATGATGGATACTCAATTACTCATAATATGGAAAACTATCAAGATGGGAAATATTTTCAGCGTAAATAGAGCATATTTAGTGTAAATACCGTCTTGGATTCAAAATTCGGTTCATTAGGTAACCATCACGTAATATGTTGAAATCGACGCCTGAATAGGAGTTTTAGAACTCGATAAGATCTTTCTAACGAGATAGAAAACTCTTGAAACGGAATGAAATACAACAAGATATGATCAGATCAAATATTACACGAGTTCGGAGTGATATCGGAAATGATTGTGAATTTCAGGTTAATGTGTACCTTTTACTTAATACATTGTAAATTAATTCGGAACACTAGTTTTAGAACTCAAAATGGTCTTTCCAACGAGATATACAACACTTGAAACGGAAGAACATACAACAAGAAATCTTATTGTTATTCTGGAACTATATTTCATTTTATGTATCTGTGGGTACTCTGGAACTATAAGTATGATTTGATTTATGGAAAAACTGTGTAGTTATCTTTCCTTTCACGAATCACTCTTCTATCATTATGCCTCTGAAAAGAAGGTACACGCTGATAATTATCTCTTCGCTTATCAACTCAATAATTCCATAAAGTTAGAATGTAGAATTATACATTTATACTCGAATCACTTGGGAGAGCATTTTAGAACATTTGTACAACTCTTCATACAGAAATATGTAACATAAAGAAACATGTAGCCTAAACTTCTTTCTCACATATGATTTTGTCATTTCATTTTTGTAACTGTTGAAACTTTTTTGATGATGTAACTGTTGAAAGTTGAACCTCTAGACATATTTATTATAGCATGTCAGTGCACAGTTTGTAATAATTTGATTTCCTTATTAAATTTATGTGTTTCCTCTTAACTCTAGGTTCACAAATAATGTGTTGAGCACTGCACAACAAGTGTGGTTACGCAAATTAGGTGGTGCGAAGCCTGTTGTTACTGAAAATACAAGTGGCATAATAAGTGCTGGAAGAGCAAAAAGAATGGGTTATCAACCAGTGCAGACTGGGGATAGGTAGGTTAGTATTATTAGTTTACTACAAATTACTTATCCTCTTCGTTATTTATCTTGCTGAAAACTGTGACAGATATAGGCAGCTGGAGGAAGAAGAGAAGAAAAGGTCGAACAGGGGACTAACTACAGAGCAGGGACAAATATCAGCTTTGGCCTCAGATTCAGAGAATGAATCGATGGAAACCGATTCGGAGGTACATTTTAACCTTTTACTTGTTTATGTTATGAGTGTGGAGTAGCCACTCTTGATTCAGGATTAGCACTTCTGTAGTTCTGCACTATGTACTATTTCATTATTCCGCGGTTAATAGAGAATAAGTGGTTACACGTATAAACCTAAATCTACAAATGCATGATTCAAGCAAATGGCATGCTGCATAGTTTGTTGCATCACATCAATGTTGTTGCCTGGTAGAACAAATGTATTTCTACCAATGATATGGATAGTGCATTGTTTGACAAGCCTGCTCACGACTGTTTAGGGCTTGATTAATTTGTTACCAACTTTCCTATTTCCAAACTGGATGAGAGAAAACAGGAAATAGGAAAGTTGATGTATGATGATTTTTGGAGAAGAATATTGAATTTGCCAGTGCACCTGGGCACCTGGCCACTTGGGACTTTTATGATGTGTTTCTGTTACTCCCTCACTCCCTCAGTCATTATTTTTTTGCACCGATAGGGTTTTCTGGGAGATTTGGATAAAAATAGTAGGGGTAGTAAATAGTCGGAGAGATATTGTGAAGAAGAAGAAAAGTAAGAAAGAGATGAAAAGGAAAGGGTATTTATGTAGCGTAGGGTTAAAAATTGCCAAATTAGGAAATAGAACAAATAAAAAAACTTTCCAAAAAGGAATACAGAGTAAACAATCAAAACAAATGGGGTAATAGATCATGGCAGCAATATTTCAGTTATCTGCAGTGTCCAATATTTCAGTCATGGTTCTGTAACTGGTAATTTTTTTTAGAGTCAATTACCTAAATAGGACTAAAAAGTGGCAAAATTTCACAAACGGGACTACATTTTATAAATTCCCCCAATAAGACTATTTATGTGTGTTTGGACAAATATACCTTTGTAGCTTTTGAAATGTTGTAATTAATAATAAAACAATTAATAGTAAAAAAATAAAAATAGTAAAAAATAAAAATAAAAAATTTAAAAAAAAATAAAAAATAAAAACGTAAAAAAACCCGCCCCCTCTGCCACCCCCAGCATCACCAGCTCCCATCACAGGAATAAATCTGCCAACATTTTTAGTAATGCCCTAATGATGGCAGATTCAATGAAAATTTTGGCATAATGAAGAGTAATAATGCCATTTTCTTGGCATTTTCAGAAAAATGGCATTATTTTACAAAAAATGGAATATTTTCTACCTATAGGAGGTGGTGGTGCTGGAAGGCGGTGGGAAAGGTATCCATTTTTTTTATTATGGGTTTTTACTATTTTTTATTTTTTGAAAAAAAATAAAAAAAAAATATTTTACAAATATTTTATTAATTTATTATTATTATTTTACGATTTTTTATTATTTTCTACGATTTCTTATTATTTTTTATGATTTTATTGTGAATGAAAACATTCCATTATGAATTAATACCATTAGGGGTATTTAGGGTAGAAAATCAATGTTTAGTCCTAATTGGGGAATTTAAAAGTAGTAGTCCTATTTGTGCTTTGAATCATTAGTCCTATTTAGGACAATAACTATTTTTTTTAATCTTAAATGTATATTTTTTCAATGTGAGAGGGTGGAGACCTTCCTATTTACCAAATTAAGGAACAGTAAACTGTTTTTCTACGTAAAAATTATAAAAACAAAAAAGGAAAGAGTGAAGAGGTGGAAAGAAATGGAGGTGGTTAACAAATATTTGTTTGGTTCAAGTGTTCAATGAAGGAATGTGGTGGGATTATTAATTTTTGAAAATATGTAAAAAAAATAATGTTTTGATTTTAATACAATTTTTGTTGTAAGAGTGCTGTTTTGAGAATTAAGAAAAACAGGGATGGGTCCCAGGGCGATGGGAGTTATGGGGAGTTGGTAGGATTTTATCCCCACAGGCTCCAACTCCCCCAATCAAACACAGTCCGATAAGGCAATAACTTTCTTCCTTCCCTCCCTCCAAAACCCTCCAACCAAATAAGGGCTAAATAAAGTGTATTCCTATTAATGTGTTCACACAATTCTGCATTGAGATTAGGATGATCATGATCTTGAAACACATTAAGAAAATTTGCTTGATGGAATACCAACATCAAGAGTGAGCTTATGTATGATGAATCATTGCAATGAGATCAGCAGTGAATTGGCAGTCAAACTCCTCCAACCTTTTTTTTAGACACTGGAGCACCTGAACGTCTTTATTTGACTTTCCCGAGAAGTCCACTGCGAAAGCATTCATAAACCGCTCGACCGTAGTTTTTTGCGGAAAACCCAAATTTTGGTTGAATAGTACATTCAACGACCATGCTGGTTCAATTTATCTCTCTCAACTTAGATTGAATTAAAATATCAGTATCTCACTGCAGAAAATGGAGGTTCTTGAAGAGGCATACACTTCTTCTGGAAACGGCAAAAAAAATCCAGACTACGCTGGGGTGCCAAGAAGGAGTAAACGATCTAAGCGGAAGCGTGCCGTATGAAAGTGATAGCCATTTTGAAGTCAGTTTAATTGTATACTTGGAAAATGGTTGTAATTTAGATTATTAGCTATAGATGCCATTTCCACATCAACCATTAGTTTGTGGTACATATAACTACCACTCACCGCATTTGTTTGTAGGACATTGCTTATTCCACCTATTTAAGTGTTTTTCTACTCCAAGGGAAGTTTTTAAAACATTCTATTATAGTCTCTCTTCAAACTTGTTTTATTCCTCACTGGGTGTTGTTGATTCAGAGGTACAAAATCATGTACTTCAAATATGTGTTTATAATGTCTGAAGTAGGATATTGTATCCAGGCTTGCTTAGAGAAATACTTTTTTGTAACAAATATTTGTATAGTTGTCTCAATTATGTAATTTTCTACTTATTGCTTGGGTTCTTATTACTCCATAATATTTATCTCTTTAGCTGATCAAAGATCGTTCAATCATCAGTCTTTTTTTTGCTATTCATAAGAGCAGCCCTAAGGCTGTTGTCTCAGGTTGTACTCTGGGAAAATAATTGCAATATATCAGCAAGGTAAACTTTTGAAAATGTGACTCAATTTACTCCCGGATGGGGTGTCAACCGTGTCATCTTTTTTTATGGACAAGGTACACTAAATTGTCTTATCCCGAAGTAAACATATTCAAGCCAAAGCATATTTAACCTTGTCACTTTTATGTAAAGGTTACTGTTAGGACTTAGGACTTAGGGTTAACTTATAAAGTAATCAGTAATCCTTGCTCTATATTTCATTTCCTGTTAGATCAAGTATAAATAAATAACTTTTGAATTTATAATTGATTTATATGTGGTCTTAAAACTATGTGCTACTCACTCCAACACTCCTTGTTACAGTCTTAAACAATTTTATATTTGAAACATGTATGATATGAAGAAAATCTCATGAGACATAAGACAAGTATTGTAAGGAGTACTAAAATATACGCGTAAACTGCAACACTCAATCATCGCAAATTATAAGTACAACCGATTCTACCGTGAGCATTGTATGGCGGGTATTTTTTCACAGACGTCTTCTTCGACAAGATGGAATCTGCCGCCGCCATCTTCCGTTGCCCTCATCGCCACTTAGGCATAGACTTGAGTCGGGCCTCAGGCCGGTCTGGGCCGACCGGGCATTTTTTTGAAATCTTGAGGCCCGGAACTGGCCCGGGTAGCTATCGGGCCCGGTTCGGGTCGGGTAACCTTTTTTTATTTTCTAATTACTTCCTACCCCCTACCCCCAAAGCCCCTTCAAAACACCCAGCCCAACCCATTTACCTCCCAAATATTTTGAAAACCCAAAAAAATGGCCCGAACTGGCCGGGCTAGTTCGTGATTTGGGAGGCCCGGGAACCGCCTCGTAATAGTACCGGGCCGGGTGGCCCAAACCGGGCACTGATTCGAATATCGGGTCGGGCAAGGCTGTAACAGTACCAGGTCGGGCCGGTTACGGGCCGGTTAACCCGGCTTGAGTCCATCCCTATCGCCACTCGGTCGATCGGAAATCCACGGTGCTCAAGTCACACAACACGGCAAATCCGGCCTTTGGAACTTTGGTTGTCCTTGTCGCATGTGTAGCCGGTTTTAGAAGGCCGCTTTTCCTTGTTGGTTGTCTGACATCGCCATTGCATGTTAGTCGTCCATCAACGCCATCGCTTGTCTATCCTCCAGCATTGCCGTTTGTCGCAGGCCTCAAATATGATGAGTCGACAAGTTTTTAATAATAAATCTATTACACCTGCATATTATAGAAATGAGCTTTATGTTAAACTCAAATGAAGTTAATGCCTAAAAGGAATGAACATACACAAATAAATACTAAGCACGTTAGAAATAAGGTTTATGTTAAACTCAAATGAGTATAACACCTAAAAGGAATGAGCTTTTGACAATTTTTATGCTCATTTTGTAAGTTACGTATCATTATTACATTTGATTAATTTACATAAGAGTTGATTATAGATTTGAGAGCACAGATCATGATACTCAATCACATGATTCTAATACTCAATAGAGAAAGTTTGATGTTCAATGAAAATATTTTGATGTTGAACTAACATAACTTACAATTTAGTTACCTTATCTTGTTTAGATGGGCAAGTTAGAAGTGGTAAACAATTAGGTGGTTTAAACCTAAATAGATACGGAGTTGTAAATAATTATATGAACCAATCATATATGCATTACAGACGTGGTACCCTCACTTAGATGAATGCTTATTTATTTTGCAGTTGATTGTCAATAACTTCCCCGTCCGGCAAAAATTTGCTAACTTTATTTATGCAAGTGCTCCAAAAACTTGTCCATTCCATTTAGAGTAATAAAGGTGTGGTTAAATAATTTTTCTCTCACCTAATCTCCACAAAATCTCAATCACATAATTTTTACTTTATTATTATACATGCAAATCAATCTTGGACAAGTTTTATGGCCGAGTATTGATTATCATCATTGTCCTTTATATCACATTTGTAGCCAAATTAATTGCGCTTGAATATATTGTGCTCTGTATACTCTATTTTATATTAAAAACGAGAACATCTCTTTTTTAACTTTATTGTATCATGTCACTTAATTAATCGTGTGTGTGAATGTTTCCAAGGTTTATTTAATAATTTATTTGTATTTAATGTTCTTATTCTTATTCTTATAATGTTTTATTTATAACTTACAACCATTAATTAGATTTATACTTTTTTTAATATAAAAGAATGACTTTTTATATTAATATCAAGAAATCATACAAGAAATCCTCCGAACAGTTATGATAGGATCGATAATAAACTCTAGGAATATACATAGAATCAGTCACCTCATACAAATCAATCTGATTTGTTAGACACAAAATGAAAAAATTTAAGTCTAAAGCAATCAGAACTGAAACAATGTCAATCAAAAGTACTCAAGAAGACTAAACATCCAAACCAAACCTACTCGTAGTAGAATAAAAAAAAGTACTACTAAAGGAAAGATGAATTTGAAATAAATTTTTTCCATAAAACTCTTCCTGGCACGGAGTGATTCTAGAGGAGGAAGATCTTTACCATTTTCTATGCAACCCAAAAGAAAACAAATAAAAACTCCTGACCAGACGAAGCTAGTCGGGAGACCAAAACAACTCCTCGCATCGAGGGAGACAAAACAACCTGGAGCGCCAATGCCCGGGAAAGAACCGTCATAGCACAAAATAAACACAAACAGAAAGAAGAACAGTTCAGTTGAACATAAGGGCGTAACTAGGGGGTGGCCAGACTAGACCCTGACCCAATTCAAATTTAAAAAATGCTAATATTTTTAGTGTAAAAAATTCTATGTAATTTTTTTTCAATAATATTATTTGTACTGATCCAATTTGACTCAGTACCCTGACTCCGCCCCTGATTAAATCATACCCCTAGTAAGAATTTATGAGAACTGACTTCACCTAGAACAAGACATAGAATCCACTACTTGGATTCATCATCCATGCTCTTTGAGCTGTGTCAAAACTCAAAATAGAGGGAAGAAGATCAAAAGGGACTATAGCCGCCGCCTTCTCTTCTAGGGTTAGCACCCTTAGAAGATTACTTTATTACATTCCCAATTCTATGTAGCGATTGTGTATCTTTCACATTGACAATTATATTTATACTTGATTGTTATTAATTAGTAAGTTATTAAATAATGATGCATTATTAATGACAACTTCGACTCCAAATGGATTTAAATTGGAACTCCACCATATTATCTTTACAAATATAAAGATAATAAATAGAAATAATGACCGAACTAGAACTCCCAGCTTCTTGTGGGACACAAATAGGAGCAATTTTTATTTTGGACGGATACATGACTAAATTTAAATGAAAAGTCTAAAATGCCCATTATAATATTCTGTCCGGTTGACATTTTCTTCCATACGTGAGCTTTCTTCTTCGTGTTAGGACTTAGGAGAGGGCTTCTTCTTCGCGTTAGGCCAGGAGCACCTAACTCCACTGGTGCAAACGTGCGACAGAAGATGGCGGCGAATCACACCGGAGGAGGCGACTCCATATCGACAAAGGTGATCGACCAGCAACAGCGGAAACAACCAATCGGCTCTTCTTCGTCCTCTTCTATTCTGCTCCGCGATTTTCTCCATCGCCGATGTTGTAATCGCCATCAGAGGGTGGCAGCAAACATTTGTAGACTACATTATCGAAGGGAGACGGGTGTCGAGCAATGAATCAGATCTAGATTTCGAATGGCGGTAACTAGGGTTGGGGCTGGGGAAGCTGCGATTGATGGGGTTAGGGCAGCGGTGGCGGATCGCGCTCGGCGTTTTGGTCGCTGACGGGGGCAGCGTTGGTCAATTGGGGCTGCGAGTGCGGCAATTGCAGGGGACGGATAGAGGAGGCTGGGAAGGGGGCTGGGAAGCTGGGGAGGGGGCAGGGACTGTTTGAGGCTGGGCTGGTGGGGATGTAAGCTGTGGACCATGGGGGGCAGTGGTTAGCGGCGTTGTCGGTAGCGGTGGTCGACAGAGGTGGTCGCCGGAGATGCTGGTTTGGTACGGCGGTAGTCACTTTCCAGGGAGGCGTTGGTCACTGGCCAGGGCAATGTTGGTCATTGGCCAGGGCGGCTTTGGTCATTGGGCAGACGGTTTTGTGACTAGGCTGTGGGTTTGGTCACCCGCGGGGCGACAAAGCTCACTGGAAAGGCGGAATTGATCACTGGACATGTAGACGTTGGTCATCGGATGAGCGGACGAACACGTAAGTGTCACTTTAGACACGTAACTATGTAATTGTCACTGTAACATGTAATTGTATAATTGTCACGGTAATTGTCACTATAGACATGTAACTGCATTGTTTATATATGGATATAATCGTAAAGTTAGTCACTTTGGCAGGCATGTAACTATACAATTGCCACTGTAACATTTAATTGTGTAATTGTCACTATAGATATGTAACTGTCACTGTATATATATGGATATAATCGTAGTCACTTTGGCATTGATCACGGTAGCATTGGTCACTATAACAAGTCATTACAACATTGGTCACTGACGGTGGTAGTAACTAAAACAGTGGTTACTAAAACGATAGTAACTGGAACGATGGTAACTGAGACGATAATTAATGGAGCGACAGTAATTGGGCGATAGTCACTGGAGCGGTGGTCATTAATATAGTTGTTGAGGTAATATGTCACTAGTCGATGGAGTCACTTATAGTTAATCACATCATAGTTAATCAACGGGTAACTAGACGGACCAAGTAATTATAACTGGTCGGACAACTAATCGGTTCAGGTAACTATAATTGAAGCGGTAGTAACTGAGACGGTGGTCACTGAAACAAAAGTAATTAGAACGTAGTCATTAAAACACTAGTAACTGAGATATTTTTTTTAGAACTGTTAGACTTTTAATGTAATGATTTAAATATTTACTTTAAGATATATATGTATTTAATTTTAAAATCAAAATAAAAATTAAATGTTAGATTGTTAGGGTGTGTAATGTAGCTAAAGGCTAAAAGCAATGAAGTCTACGTAGTGGGCTAGTGTAGTGGGTCATTGGTGCAAAACCGCAATAATGTCACGGAACTCTGGAATGTCGATGTATGTTGACCGTTGAAGACTAAGGGTAATTTAGAGAAATGAGAATTTATTAGTCACATTTTTGGAAGTTAAAAAAAGAGGTCTCTTTTTTGTCCATTACCTTCTTTTTTGTCCATTACGTACTTGATAAAATATTTTTTTAAAAGGATATACATGATAAAATTTTAGAAATTATAAAAATGCATGACAAAAATGTAAAAAAGACAAAAACGCATGACTAAACAATGTGGCTATTTTTTGAAAGAAAAAACGTGCAACAATTATTAATTAATCAAATCATTAGTCACTTGGTTTACAACGAAATCAGGAACTAAATCATAAACGCAACTAAGATCTTAGAGGGACACATGTGCTCGAGCTATCGCATGAACAACACGAATCACAGATCACTTACAAAAATAGATGCTAAAATGACTCTTTCTCTGAATATAATGTTCGATGTCGTCAAGAAGTAGATCAAGATAATAAACGCATTTTCACCTTGGACCACTACAAGTGCATCTGACTTCAACTCCACTTTACTCCGATCCACCCTTCCTTTTCCGCCCCTAAAATCGCCTCGCGAAGGCTCCAATCTTCAGTCTCAATCAGGGACCACTCTGGCTTCATTGACCCGCCTACAGCCTTTATAAACTCACCTTGCTCATTCCGGGCAATCCAGCCCCATGCCCGAATACCACCAGCATCGTTACCGCTGCATCTACATTAATTTTGGTATAACCCATTTGAGGACGTTGCCACTGCCCCACCCTATTCGTATTAGGTGTGTTGCCCCCTTCACTTCTTTTTTAAGAATCCTTCCAAGTATTCTACATGCTTCTTGCACAACTCAAAACCACTGAAGTTCCTAAACTCGAGTCTTTCCACACCAAATTATTCCTCCGCTTCCCAAGACTCCAAAGCAGCATTATGAACTTACAACTACCTTCCTTACTTAATCGCTCCAACTTTGACTTAATCCCTTCCTCAAGAGTCCCCGATGTCCATTTCAAAACACACACATGAAGCATTTCATACCCCCTCCACTTCACCAGTCTCCATAGCTTGACTGCACAACATGCAATCAGTCTGGACCGTAACTTCTCTTCGCTGCAAGTTTTCTAGGGTCGGGAGAGAGCCATCAAGTACCGTGAGGCAAAGTATTTAGCCTTAGGTGGCACATGGAGATCCCACATACGTGACCAACCGTTATAGACCTCAGCATCCGACCCTCCTACCAACGCCTTATAACAACTTTTGACATAAAACAACCCGTTCTTCTCTCCCCCTCCATCAGTATCCATCCTCCATGTCCCACAAAGTAACAGGAATACTCAAAATCTTTTTACTCTCTTCAACATTAAAAATAGAAAGTACGATCTCTACTCCATCTCTTACCCATACAATCACGTAGAGCAGCAACATTCATATCAAGAACTACACTCTTTTAACCATGCATTTGCCCACACTTGAATACTCTTACCATTCCCCACTTTTCTTATAATATTATTCTTCACCTTAGTTTCCAAAATACTCTGCCAAATGAAAGAATGAATACTTCCTAACTGGGTGTTCAAAAAGTCAGTTTTAGCAAAATACCTATATTTAAGAATCCGACTCATGAGGCTTCTTGAATGAGTCGCCAACTTCCACCCATGTTTTGCTAACATGGCCAAATTAAATTCTCTTAATTTCCGAAAACCCAAACCCTCACCCCCTTCGATTTGCAAAGCCAGGCCCGTCTCCTCCATCTGAGGCATCTTTGATCAAACTTCAACTCTTTCCACCATAACCCGTTCATTAGCTTTTCAATCTCGTTACACAACTCTCGCGGGAGAAGAAATACATTCATCGCATAGGTCATCATGGCTTGAATAACATTTTAGAGTAAGACTGCTCTACCCACCTGTGAGAAAAATCTATCATTCCAACTCTTAATCCCATTGGTGATCTTGTCACGTAAGTAACCCAAAATTGTCATCTTATCTTTTTACCAATCAATGCGGGCAATCCGAGATATCTGTTCCATCCCCCATCTCTCGAAATATCAAAGAGATTGCATCACCTATCCTTGAAAGTCTCCCCACATCTGTGCTAAAAGTCAAGCTAGATTTTGCAAAATTTCTCGCCTGTCCTAACACTCGTTCACATTCCTGCAAATCTTTTTAATGATATTACGTTCATCATTAGCTGCTTTGAAAAACATAAAGCTATCATCATCAAACAACAGATGAGACACTCGGTGCTTCCCTGCAGATAGCCACTCCATGAATATCTCCTCTCAATTTCGCTAGTCTCAAAAGTAAACTCAACCCATCAACCACAAGGAGAAATAAATAAGGAGAAAGAGGATCTCTTTGTCGTAAGCCTCTCCCAGGAACAATCGGACTCAAAAAATCTTTATCAAACTGAATATAATAACTAACCTCAGACACACATGTCATGATTATATCAACCCATCTACTATCAAAACCCATGCGCAGGAGGATATCACGCAGAAAACTCCACTCATCACGATCATAAGACTTACTCATATCTAGTTTTAAAGCAACAAGACCTTCCTTTCCGTAGTTTTCCTCTTGAGAAAATGTTGGGTTTCAAATGCCACCATAATATTATCTACTACTTCCGTCCCACTATGATTGTCCTATTTTACCTTATCGGTCCGTCCCACTAAGATTCTCTCATACCAAATATGGTAAAGTTTGTGTAGCTCTAAATCATTCTTACTTTATCAATTCATTATTAATCACATAAACCACTTTTTATTAATTTGTGTGACACTCTCTCTTGTCCCATTGTTAGCGAGATAGAGAGAGTATTATATATCTTACTTTAATAAAGGCACTTTGATTTCCCCCACTAGTGAATCTAAAATTTCTTTTATTGTATTGGTGAGTACAAGGAAAGCTTCTTTTGGGTAAAGTATAAGTAAAACTTCTTTTTGGTAAAGTATAAGTAAAGATTAAGAAAAAGGTTATTGATTATCTCAACCAAAAGTATGTTAAAAAAGACGAAATTGACAAAAACACGAAAAAGATGTGGCTGCTGGGATTCGAGCCCAGGTCTCCACGGCCACAACGTGGAATTCTTACCACTAAACTACAGCCACAAGTTGTTTTAGTATCGTTTGTAACTTTTACTATTCCATACAGCATGTTTTCTACCTGTTTTATGTGTTTGGGACCGCGCCAAATTGACATTTAAGAAAAGCACAATCCGCGCCTATGTCTTACAAAAGCTATCCTACCGTCGATGTAACCCAATCAACGATCTATATTAACTCCGCACAGGCGCAGGGATCAACACACATATCCGTCGATTACAAAATTCAAATCGACGAACTAGATTGAGCCCATTTTCCACAAGCCGGCAATATAAAAGGCATCCCCCGCCTCCCCTTTCCTCAACCATCAAGTCATCTCCCCCAATCATCTGCATTTCAAAACCCTACATTCTCTTCTCTGCGAAAATGTCAGGCCGTGGAAAGGGAGGCAAGGGATTGGGAAAGGGCGGAGCCAAACGTCATAGGAAGGTACTTCGCGACAACATCCAGGGAATCACCAAGCCCGCCATTCGCCGTCTAGCGCGTAGAGGCGGCGTGAAGCGTATCTCTGGTCTCATCTATGAGGAAACCAGAGGAGTTCTCAAGATCTTTCTAGAGAAAGTGATCAGAGACGCGGTGACCTACACCGAGCATGCTCGGAGGAAGACTGTGACGGCGATGGATGTAGTCTATGCTCTCAAGAGGCAGGGAACGACCTTGTACGGATTTGGAGGGTAGAGCTTCGCAAGTCGTAGATGTTCTTATGTGATGAATGCAGATACCTGTCTCAGCTTAATTTCAATGGTGTAGTTAGCAATTTCATGTTTATTACAGCCTACTAATCAGAAGTAGGCTTGTTCCTTGCCTCTTTCAGGAAGTAATACTTCTTCTTGCGGTAGATGTTCATGTGTGACAAATGCAGATGCATATTTCAGCTAAATTTCAATGGTGTAATTAGTAGTTTCATGTTAGTTTGTGGCCCATTAATCAGAAGTAGGCTTGTTCCCTGTTCATCGGCCAATTTGAAGTAATACTTGTTCTCAATTTGTGAATATAATTCGGTGGTTACTTTTTCTTCCAATTCCAGATTTTTTTTTTATAAATTGGATCCTTCTCTAGCGGCTCTTGCAGTTTTTGACATTTAGAAAAATTGTTTACATTCTGTTTTCCTGGCAGCTGGAATTTTTGAGATAAACTAATCTAAAGTAGCCCTGTAATTGGTTTTTTATTTTGTTGTCATCAATGATCTACTTTGTTCTCCATTCTTATCATTTAAGTCATCTTTGATAATAAAACTGTTAGGAAAGGAAAACTAGAAATGAAGAACAGGCGTATAATCAAACAAGAGCATTTCTCTTTTAAGTTCTTGGTGAAAGGAGAATTGTTATTTAATTGGAAGATATTCTGCTTGAGAGCGATTTCAGACTGCCTTTCAGATTGCCATTGAGCGTTAATATCCAACTAGATTCTCTCATGATTTGTGTACATTGTTAGTTGTGTGTAAACAAATGTAAAAAGTATATAAATGTAATACACAATAGAAAATTTATGATTAAGAAAAAGATAGAATTCAGAATTGGTAGAAACTATGTTTCTTATAAAATCTTATACGAAGTAATGGCCCATAAAGGTCAGGGCATTTAAGGAAAAAATGATGATGATGAGGGCTTCAAGAGGAGCAGACATCAGGTGGTATTCTTAAATTCGCCATCTGGTGTGTATGCGATTCAGTCCATCAAACCTTCCTGCTATCTGCAATTCGGTCAACAGATGGAGGCTTGTGATTCGGAATCAGGAACTTAACTTCTGGACATCATCCTTATCAAGGGGGCTTGCAGTACTTTACATTATAACTCTCTTTACTCCCTCCGTCCCGCTAACAATGGAACAAAAGAGAGTGACACACAAATCAATAAAAAATGATTTACGGGGTTGATATTGAATTGATAAAGTAAAAATAAAGTAAGAATGATTTAGAGCCACACAAATTTTACCAAATTTGTTATTAGACAATCTTAGTGGGACGGACCGATAAGGTAAAACGGGACAATCATAGCGGGACGGAGGTAGTATTATATACTCCCTCCGGTCCTAAATAAAGTTTACACTTTCCTTTTTGGGCCGGTCCAAAATAAAGTTCACACTTCTTCTCCATTCCTTATTTGGCAAATTATCTACATCAAAACAGTGCAAAACAGTGCAAAACAGTGTCAAACAGTGTTACAACAGTGTAATCTACAGTAAAGTCAAATTTATTTTCTTAATTTTTGTGAAATCAAACACTGAACTTTATTTAGGACCGGAGGGAGTATATCTGCCAGGGCTTCTTAGAGAATATCATGTTCCATTATTTCACATGGTATCAAGAGCACATAATAAACCCTAATTTTTCTCTCTCTCTTCGTCAACCCTAATCCGCACGCATGAGTTCGTCGGCTAACACTGTCGCCGCCGGCGCGCCGCCTCCTCCTCTACGGTGGTTCCGTCCACCGTGAACGGCGTCATTCCCTCTTCAACTGCTGCCATCACGACGGCTTCAACTACACCCGTCTCGGTCGGTCAGGCTTTCCGAGTAGGCATGCCGCAGTCATCCTCCATGGAATCCAGCGCCACCTTCTCCTCCAGCTACATCTCGCCATCTCGCAGCCTACCCTATTCACTTTTTCAGAATATGCCATCGACGTTCCCATGGCAGCATCCCTCTTCGGTACAACCAGTACCATCGGAGCCACCTCCTTTCTCGGGCAGCTCTTTTTCCGGCCTCTACTGTCCCACCACTTCGATCAGCAGCAACACCCATGGTTGGATCTCCTTTGTTCGAATTAGCCCAGACAATTTCTCATGTGGCTACGAATGTAACCAATATTTTTACTACAAAACTACTGGCTGTGGAAGATTACACTACGTGGCGAACTCAGTTTGAATCTTTTCTGGTCTCGCAAGGACTTCTAGGCATGGTTGATGGATCTCTTCAGGTACCTCCAGCTTATTCCATTGATATTCTCAACCGTCAATCTCCCAATCCCGAATTTTCTGTCTGATTGCGAATTGATCAAACCATCCGGTCTTGGTTATTTGCAACCCTTTCTCGGAATATTCTCATTGATGTCAAGGATCTTAAACATTCCTTTGAAATTTGGGAACGGTTAGAATCTAGATTCATGTGTGCCAGTTTGGCTCGATCAATGGAATTACAACGTTTGTTCTCACAAATTAAAAAGAAACCTGAACAATCCATGGACAATTATTTGCGAGAAATCAAAACCTTGGCGGATGATCTGGCCACCATTAATTGCCCCGTTTCTTCCCGTGATTGGCTGAAAAGAACTATTATGGGACTTGACCCGGAATATGAATCATTGTTCACCACGGTGTCTCTCGTCCCTCAAAACTTTCCGTTTGAGACCCTTCGAAATCACCTCCTAGAACTCGAGCAGCGCGTCAACTACCTTCGGTCCTAGGAGAATACATCTGTCCACCAGGCCTTCGGTGCACATGGGCCGCAGCCTGGTCACGAGCCGCAGGTGCATCCACAGCGTCCTCCGGGATATCCTCAGCATGGCCGTGGTGGACGTGGACATGGTGGCAGAAGACGTGGTGGCCATGGGCGCGGATGCGGTCATCCGATACTATGGTACCCCCAGTACGATTCGCCGCCTATACTTCCGGCTGCAGCCGGTGGTCCTTCGGCAGGGGGTGGTCCTACTATGGGTACTATTTTTTGTAATTCTACTATGTCACATTTAAATATTAATGCCTTACCTATTTGTGCTACTAACTTTGGTTCTGCAGGCTTATCATCAGATGGGGCTATTCTTGGGGCAGTTCCCCATCCTGTTGTGTGTCAGATTTGTTTATCTGCAGGTCACTCCACTATTGCTTGCCCCTCACGTTTCTCACAGCCCTCTAATGCAACTTTGTTGACTAACTCTGGTGAATCTAATTCAGCTTTGTGGTATCCCGATTCGGGAGCTTCCGCTCATATGACTGCATCAGATGGGAATTTAATTAATAAATCTATTTAGATTGGCTATAATTCTGTTAGTGTTGCTAATGGTGCCCATTTACCCATTTGTCATGTTGGTGATGTTGCTTTACCTTCACCTGGTTGTTCTCTCACTTTAAAATCTGTCTATCATGTGCTCAGTTAAAGTATAATTTAATTTCTATTCAAAGATTGTGTGCTGATAACAATTGTACTGTCATTTTTGATATTTTTTTTATTAGGGACAAAGCCTCGGGACAGTGCTTCTGCGTGCCAGCAGTAATGGACCTCTTTATCCTATCCGTTTGCCGTCATCTCCATCTTTAGCTTTTGTTTGTGTTTTAGCTACTGGCTCTGTGTGGCATCGTAGACTAGGTCATTGTGGTGACAATGTTTTAAAGTTTCTTAAACGACAACAGTTTTTATGTAACCATTCTCCCTTTACCCATGATTGTGTTGCTTGTAGACTAGGAAAATCCCAACGTTTACCCTTTACGGATTATTCCGTCTTCAGATGTTTTTACTTGGACTTTTTTCAGTCCTAGACCAGACCAGACTTGAATAGTTATAAAATACATAGAGCCCAGACAAGATCTGATCATATTAGACCAGATCAGAAAATTCCAGTCCAAGTAAAAACATCAGACTTTGTAGGTCTATTTTGGTCTACACTGGTATGAAAAATGTCTAGTATTTGTGTACTTTATAACCATGGGAATATTGTGACACCGCACCCGAACGTCATTGAAATTCAAATTTAATTTCAAAGCTTATGTATTGAATTTCCCTATTTTCGAACAATTATAAAATGATTAAAGTTTTACGGAACGTATGATTAATCATATTACTATTTGGGCTCGTATAATGGTAATGGACTTCTAAATAATTAATTGGGCCATCTTATTGATATTGGGGCCCAACATTCTTAAATAAAGATATACAACCCCTCGGTACAATGTAAGAGCGGTCGGGCAGCCCAAATGTTATTTTGGGCCTAACCTCCTAAAAATAGCAATTATCCAAGAATGGCATCCTAGACCCACTGGAGGATGACCCACACGGTTAGTAACCCAGATACATGAATATTAATATCATAAATGAGTGATGGAATGATTGGAGAAGAATACAAATGCCTATGGTCTCATCTTTGGCATTATTAGGCTAAATAATGGGAGTAGGGGTTTCTTTTGTAATTATAGATTATATAAATTATTGGGACCACCCTACACATATTAGAGATCAATAATATGATGTAGAAGGTTTATTTGCTCTAAATAAATTGGGGAGAGTACAAAAGTACATCTTATGACAAAAGACAAAAACAATAGGACCCATCTTTCCACTTTTGGAAGTATTGGTAGATTTTTTGCTCCCAATTTAATTAGGGGACATAAGAGTGCACCCCACACCTTCCTAGCACCTTAAAAACAGGTAGAATAAGTTAGAACACATAAATGGAGCGGACCTATTGAGTTGAGGGCTCAAACAATACAAAAGAGAAATAAAAAAGGAGGACCATCCCATGTTTGATTGGAATCAAACACCCTACCTTTTATTTTTATGAACCACATGTTAAGATAACCTTTTGAGAGCTCCTAAACACCCCCCTCACCCCCCATCCATTCGAACTCAAAGGATAAGGAGGAAGGGAGAGCCTTACAATCCAAAAGAGAGAGAAGAAAGGATTCCGCAGGGAGAATTTCCAGTGCGTTGGCCTTCTTGTGCGACTCATATCTCGAGTTCTACTCATCCAAAAGAGACACGGGAGGTGCTCACTGAAAGATCTCGAAAATAGGAATCCATATACATGCGGTTTGAAGAAAATGGAGCATTTTAGGCCTCCAAATCATCCGAACAGAACGCAAACTCGAAGAATACGTTTTTGGTATTCAAAGTAAGTTCGAATCCAAAACCTTCCTTTCTATTGTCTAAATCCTATGAATGATTGAAGAACTTATACAATGGTTTAAGTTTATAAAATTTTATTATAGAGTAACTTTAATTGTTGGAAAGCTTAGACACTAACCTAGACAAAACCTTGAAAGGTTAGGGAACGAATTCACCGGAAAACACCCATTCTAGGGACTGTTTTCGTGTCGACGCTTAGGGGTTGAGCTAGCATTGTGAGGAGTCTGCTTAACACTCATATTTAAGCAAGGAATCAGTTCTTAATCCACCTTGACCGAAGCTTTGACCATTGGATCAAGAAGGAAAAGTTTAAAGCTCAATTAAGGTGAAGATCGACATCTAGTTGCTTACAACTTTTAGGTTAAGCAT